TCCCAGCAGCTCGGGAGGCTGAGGCAGGAGGATCGCGAGTTCAAAGCCAGCCTCATCAAAAATCGAGGCCCTAAGCAACTCAATGAGACCCTGTCTCTAAATAAAACCCAAACTAGGGCTGGGGGTGGGGCTCAGGGGTCAAGTGCCCCTGAGTTCAATCCCTGGTATCCCCCCAACAAAAAAAAAACTACCTTCTGAAATCCCCCACACTCCTCCCCACCATGGGACTTTGCATCTGCTGTTCCATCTGCCCTCGATGCTTTTCCTATCCTCTCTCACTCTCTCCCACAGCCTTTCAAGTGCCACTTGCCTTTTAGATCTCAGTTCAACCACCTATTTCGAGATGCTGACCCTGACTGACCAGGTCCAAGTCCCCTGTTACACTTCCTCACTTTTCCTCAGTCCACCGGACAATTGGAATTGTTGCAATTTTACACTTTTCTTTTTCTTTCTTTCTTTTTTTTTTCTTTTCTTTTTTTTTTTTTTTTTTGGTACCAGGAGTTGAACCCAGGGTGCTTAACCACTGAGCCACATCCCCAGCCTTTTTTATTTATTTACTTACTTTTAATTTCAAGACAGGGTCTCACTAGGTTGCTTATTGCCTCACTAAGTTGCTGAAGCTGGCCTCAAACCTGCGATCCTCCTGCCTCAGCCGCCACAGCCACTGGGATTACAGGCGTGCACCACCATACCCGGCCAATTTTACACGTTTTTATGCTGGTGAAGAGTCCACAAAGGGAAGACCGCACTGAGAGCTGCGTGGCACCCGGCAGAGCCGGGCCACATCCTTTTGCACATGCGCTTGATCCATTAATGAGGGAGCATCATGGAACAGCTGGGAACCTGTAACCATCCAGACTGGAACTGTGGAGATGGGGACGAAGAAGCAGCTAAGGGAGTCGAAAGCTTTGGTCTCTCAGGACAGATCAGAAGGAGAGGAACCGAAACTAATGTTTTATTCTAAATGTTTTATAATCTGACTTTGAAACTTGTGAATTTGTATTGCTTTGATACAATAAAACTAATTGTTTCAAAGGGAGCCAGGCACAGTGGATGGCGCAGACCTGTGATCTCAGTGAATTAGGAGGCTGAGGCAGGAGGATGGAATTGGGAGGCCAGCCTGGGAGTGGCTGCTACATCTATGTCTTTTGTAATAGCTTCTTGAACCCATCCATCCCTGATGATGGGATTACCAGGAAGAATATTTGGCGGGGGTCCGTCTCAGGCCATGTTAACACCCCCTCCCATCCTCTCTCAATCAGGAGAAACAAATGGACAGAAATCCAGTTCCAGCCATTCTACCCAGAAAAGGCTTCCAATTCTCAGTAGTCCTTCCAGATTTATCTGTGTGTGTGTGTTTTGTTTTGTTTTGTTTTTTTGGTTGTTGCTTTAAAAAGACTCCTTGTGATCGCTTGGAAGAGCGTCCTGCCTCACAAGCCTCCTGCCGCCTAACAGAAAGCCCTGGGACAGGCTCAGGCTTCTCAACACTGCCTCCTCCCTGGATCACAGACAGTCCCAGTGCCGGCCACGCTGAGAACAGTCCCCTGCCCTTTGCATAATGAAATGCTGCACAGTTTGAGATTGTCTCACTCTGGGCCCATTTTCCTAGCTGCTTGGCATTCTGCAAAGGGACAAAATGACTTTGAAGTGGGGGTGGCAGAGTCTGATGGTCTCTTTGCTACAAGCTCAGGAACAGTGACTCCACTGCAAGTCAAGAGAGACATTTGTCGCCCAGGAGGGCCATCTGAGCAACTCACCTCCCTACTTTTGAGTCAGTTACCTCTGATGCAACCCCCTGTGTGGCATTCGGTGAAAGCAGCCTGTCTGACCACGGAGGTGCCCAGGAAGAAAGAGACGCAGCTCTCAGACACCTGGAGTCTAGTGAGGGGAAACCAGACGAAAACGAAAAGTGTGATCACAAATGGGATTATGCAACGACTTTGAAGGATGTCTAATTTTTTGTTCAAGCACTTATTCCCATTTTTATTAGTATCACTTTGTAAGCATCACTGTGTTCCTAATCTCAAACTATTTGGTCCACAGAAGTGAACCTCCTCTGCCCCTCCTGCCTCCTGAGGAAAAAAGACCAAGTCCCCATACCACTGCTTGAGCACCTGGATCCAGACACACCTGAAGCTCTCTCCTTTAGTCTTTTCCAAGCCTTGAATCTATAAAGTTATTTATTTATTTAGCCAAAGGTAGTTTAGGTTCTCTTTTAACTGAATCAGTTAATATAAAAAGTTAGACAAGCCGGGCACGGTGGCACATGCCTGTCATTCCAGTGGCTCAGGAGGCTGAGGAACGAGGATCCATTGTGAGTTCAAAGCCAGCTCAGCAAAAGCGAGGCGCTAAGCAACTCAGTGAGACCCTGTCTCTAAATAAAATACAAAATAGGGCTGGGGATGTGGCTCAGTGGTCAAGTGCTCCTGAGTTCAATCCCCAGTGCAAAAAAAAAAAAAAAAGTAATACAAATGAGTAATGAAGTACATACAAATGTTTACAAAATATAAATTGCTTATATTGCTTCATCTCATCTTTAGAACAATCCTGACAAGGGTCAGACCAGAGTCAACATGGGTAGTTTTGTTGAATAGTCACACATTTCTTAAAAAAAAAAAAAAAATCCTTCCCTCCCCCAAATTAGGGCCAGAACTGAGCTTTAAGGGTGTGGAGACAAGAACTCCTGCTGGGACCGGGGGCTGTCCAAGGAGAGACCCAGAGTGGCACTTCTCAAACTTTAATATGCATGTGGATTTTTTGGGGGGTCTCATTAAAGCGCAGAGCCTGATTCAGCAGGTTGGGGCAGGGCGCATCAAGCCAACTCTCAGTGATGCCGCTGAGGCTGCTGGTGCAGAAACACCTAGAGCCACCAGGGTCCAGATAAGGGCGGTAAACAGCCAGTGTGTTTGGGACAGAGGTGGCCGGCCACTGGACTTGCTTTACAGTTGCTTCTAGACTTACGATAGTGTCACAACCACAAAACCCATCATCCATGGAGAATGTCCTAATGGAGAATGCTTTTAATACAGCGAATCTTCTGGGGGTCTGTACATCCCCCATGTCACTAGCCTGAACCAAGATCCAAGGTCTCCAATACATGCACATCTCCTTCACACCACGGTCAAGTCAAGAAGACCACCCATCATGGGTCTGTACTGCCTTTAGCTCATACAGTGCTCTCAAAAAATGTTTTTAATGTATTATATTAGTTCCTCTACTTTTGAGTTCATTATCAAGTGCTTTTAAGTTAATTAAACTAATCACTTAAAAGCCCCAATTTCTGGCTTCTCAAGGAATCAATTTGGTCACCCAGAACCCTGTGTGGCCGTGGTGACTCCCCTGGTGGGACTTCGGCAGGCCACCACAGCTCCTCCAAACAGCTGGGCACAGTGGTTAGGAGCCAGGACTCCGGACCCGCCTGCCTGGGTTCCCTTCCAACTTGGCGCTTCTCCCCGCGATGGCTTTAGGCAGGTGACTTTCACCTTGCAGTCCCTCGGTTTGCCTATCTGTCAAACAGGGGTTTGTGACAAGGATTAAATACTGGAGTCTGTTCCTCCCCAGGCTGCCAGGCCCTGAGCCGGGACAGGGAGAGTCTGGGGTCGTTATTCGTGTGCCAGGTGCTGGTGAGCTTGCGACCCTGCAGGAGGCTCCTCTGCCGCCACGCGGGACGCGGTGCCCTGCAGTGGGGCCAGACCCACCCCGTGGCTTCTCCCTTCTTCTCCCTCTTCCGAGACCCTCAGGCAAGACCTGACCCTTGACCCTGTCCAGGACGCGCGATGGACCAGGCGCGCGTCCAGTCCCCTGTGACTACCCGGAGGCGTCAACCCCTCCAGCCTGAGAATGCGCGACCGCAATCCCCCGGAGAGACTCGCACCGCGACCACCTGTTCCCAGCGCGGGAGAAGCTGGGCCCTGCAGGGACCCGCCCCCCAAGCGGGAGCCTCGTGCCCGCCGCCCAATTCCCTCGTCGCCCCACCCCCAGCTCTAGCGCATCCCCGCGCTCCCGCAGCCCCGCTCTCGGGGACCGCACTAGGCGTCCCCCGCCAGCCCCCACCGTCCCCACCACGGTCCCCACCCATCGCGGGCTGCAGCTCCCGAGGGTAGCGCCACCTGCGACAGTCGCCCCCTGTCCGGCTGCCCCCGTCCTGCCCACCTTACCCGCCCGCAGCGTTGGTGGCCGCCGGTGCCTCTGCCGCCTCCAGCGGTGCAGCCTCCGCGACCGCCGCGGCAAAGCCACCCGCGCGTGACCCTGGATCACCAGCCCCCACCCCCACTCGGCGCTCGGCCCTTGGACGTGGGAGCAGCGCAGGATCCTCCCCTCCCCTCCCCGCCCTCTGGAAGGAGCCAGGATCAAGGGATCCGAGGCCACCGCCACACTCCCCGCACCACCGGGGCCACCAGAAAAAAGTTGTCAGGGCGGCTGGGCTTGCTGACCCGCGCCGGAGGAGCCCGCCACCCGCGCGCCTTCCCCTCCACGTCCCTCATTCTAGTGTTCCGAGAGGGCTCGGTGGTCTTGGCTCTCCCGGGCATCTGCACCCGCGGTCCTACAGCAGGGGTACCGGCCCCCTCTTGGAAGGATCCACGGAAGAAACCGAGGAGGGGACTGGGCCCTCAAGACCCCACCGGGAGTCCACCATCGCTCCTCCCCCAAGGCACAGCTGGCCCTGGGGTGCAGGGATCTTAATTAAGGACTCAGATTTATCCTTTTGTCGTCCAAGTGAACCGGGGTGGTGGATGGAAGGAGTCGATGAATTCGTTTAGATGCAGGGCTTGGAACCGGGTCCTGGGGACTCAGCATGACAGCTGAGACTAACCTGTCCCCTGAGGAATGTGTTGCAAACCAGAGGACTGTAGCCTTCTGAAGGCCAAGGGTGGCCTTCAGATTTGAACTAATGATGCTTCAACACTGAAATCATATGTATAACAGGGATTTCCAGTAACTCCTTAAAAAAAAAAAACAAAAAAAAAACACCGTGTGGGCCAGACTGGAGACAGGACCTAACAAGCTGCGGGCCCTTTAAGAGGTGTTTCTCTGGTCTTTTTCCACTCACAAGAGCTCCATTACTGGACTTCTGGTCCCCTATGAGGACTTTGAGCTTGGCCAAAGACTGAGTCTTCTTTTCCCTGAGTAGCTCTCATTATCCTGCCTTCAGAGGTAAGTAAACTGCAGCTCAGAGAGGTTTAGCAAACTGCCCAAGGCTACACAGCTGTGTAGGGCCCTGGGTTTGAACCCAAGGCTGCTCTATCACACAGCTACACCCCCAGCCCTTTTCCTGTTTTGAGACAAGGTCTTGCTAATTTGCCCAGGCTGGCCTCTAACTTGCATGGTCCAGCATCACTGGAACTACAGGCCATGTGCCACCACACTCAGCTTAAACCCAGTCTTTATACCCCAAGTGCCCTACCGTGGTAAGGGAAAGTAGAAAGCAGGAAGTGGTTTCCACCAAACCACCCTCTTCAAAGGAACATTTGTATTAATAGCACACTTTGAATGCCAATTTGCTGGGTTTCACCATCATTTAAATTTTTAGCTTCATCTAGATCAGCAGTGCCCTCTCCCACACTCTCTCCGCCTCCTTCTTTTTCTCATTTAAGCCATTTGAAAAATTCTAAAGGTTTGACTAAAACCAAAAATGTTTCTTATTTCATCCATTCCTAGTTACTGGCAACCGTGGGTGTTCTTTCCGTTTCTTTCTCCCCCCCCCCTTTCTTTTAGCTTATTTATATTTTACTCTTTGTAGTTTGTAAATTTCCTCTTGGCAGCTGCTTGCAAAGTTAAAATGTTAACTTTCCTATTAAGGTGGTGTAGACTTTGGGTTCAATAAACACACACCCCTGAGTATTCACATCCCACTCCTCATAGGTGCTGGGGGGGGTCTCTCCAGGTCTCAGTGACCCCCAAATGCATTTATGAATCTTAAGTCCAAACCCCAAAGTCAACGACAGTTTTTGAGGGACATCGTTTAATGAGTATAATTGCACCTTTCATAGGAAAATCTTAGGAAAGTTTATCTGCAACAATGAGTAATAAAAGGGATCCTATGTAATGGTCTGTTTTTATTTTTAACCCTATTCTTTTTATGAATACTTTTTATAATAGATGGACACAATGCCTTTATTTTATTTTATTTTTGTAATGTGGTGCTGAGGATCGAACCCAGGGCCTCACACGCTAGGCAAGCGCTCGTCCACTGAGCTGCAACTCCAACCCTATTTTTAACCCTATTCCGATTCTGTTTTTAAAACAATCCTTGCCTCTAGATGACATGAAATGTTTCCAGATGAAATGATAAGTCTGAGATTTGAAAATAATGAGGCCACAATCATACCACAAGGATCAAGGGGCAAATGGTCCCCTGCAGAAGGTTGTGACTGGCGGCTTCAGGTAGGAACTTTCTGATGGAAAGAAGGAAACAATCAACTTCAGACCCGGGAAGCAAGAACTGGAGGGAGGGTGGCTGAACAATGCGGCGCTTGGTCTAGCCTCTGGCTCTGGGGACAAATGCTGTCCTGGTTCCTCTCGTCTCTGCTCAGCTCTGCTATGTGCACGCAGTTACCTCTCGGGGGCAAGACCCCCAGCCCCAGGCCACAGCCTCTCAGATTCAAGTCCCCTCCAGAGAACAGGCCCCCTGCCGGCCACGCCCACAGCCTTCCTTCCAGAGGTTTGTTCTGATTGGTCAGTTTTAATCTAACGCCCATCCCTGAACCAATCAGCGTGGCTAGTGGAATGGGAGGCACCGATTGGCTTAGACCTGAGACTTGGGAAGAAGGGAGGGAGGTAGGGCTGTGGATAGTGACAGCAGATGACATCTCCAGGCGCGGTGGAATACGCCTGTGATCCCAGCAGTTCGGGAGGCTGAGGCAGGAGGATCGCAAGTTCAAAGCCAGCCTCAGCAGCTTGGGAGGCCCTGAGCTGCTTTTCACAACTTAGTGAAAACTTGTGTCTAAATTAAAAAAAAAAAAAAAAAAAAAAAATATATATATATATATATATATATATATATATATATATGGAGAGGAGTGTGGCTCAGTGGTTAAGCACCCCTGGGCTCAATCCCTGGTACCAAAAAAGAAAGAAAGAAAAGAAAAGTTCCACTAGAAGTTTAATCATGGAACCAGAAATTAGCTATAAAAAACAGAGGGTGTGATAGGTGTTCCCGGCCCCAATCTTTATTTAAGGGGAGAACATCAAAGGCAGGGATAAGGCTTCAGAGGGAGGAGCCTTGGTTGGGTGGAATGGCAGAAGTCTTGATTGGCATGTTGGCAAGCCGCACTCATCTCCGAGGGGCTGGGGGGCTCCATCAGGTCACCCCTTCTCCGATGCTGTGCTGAACTTGTGGCGGAGCTGGGGAGGAAGCCACACGAACCAGGCTTTCCCAACCTGCACGGCTACTGCTGCGAGTTCCCGACGCCAGGCTTTCGTTTGAGTTCCCACGCGGTTCACGTGTGGGTCATGGATGGCTCCTGGCGAGTTAAGGGCAGGCCCTGGGGTCTGAGTTCAGATCCACTTGACCCTCCAGGGCAGCCCTCGGGGGGCCTCAGTTTAATGCCAGCACTCTTTTCACCACCTGTGAGGAACACAAGGGAGGCACCTGGGTGCTGAGCCCTCCCCCAGGGCTCTTGCTACTGTTCCCCCAAAAGGAACATTGTCGACACAGCGTCCATCCCCATGGTGATGAAGATCATCAGCAGGGAAGAGCATAACGTGACTCTGGCTTTAAAAGAAAAAAAAATGTCCATCAAGGGTCACCTGTTGACGTTTCTGGTGGGGCTATTTCACCCAACAAAATTTGGGGATGGAAAGAAGCTAACGTGAATGGAGGTGCTTTCACCTTCCGTAGTTAATCCTACTTCTAAGGTCAGTATTTTTGTAGGTTTTTTTTAATTTTTCCCCAGAAAAATGAGGTGGAGATGGAGGACAGTGGCAACCATCTTTGCACCAGAAGCGCTGGATATACACCAGTATCACCCCCTCGACCCTTGCAGACCTGCGGTGACAGTCAGGGTGCTGGAAGGAAGCAGAGCGCACCCCAGGGTGAATGGGAGGGGGATGCTGAATTATCTTGCCGCAGTCCAGCTGCAGCAAAATAAGGGGGGGGGGGGCGGGGGGTGACGAACAACTTGTGTATGTTGATACAGCAGGAGTGGAAGCCGTTTATTGCAGGACAGGAGCAGTATTTATACATTCCACACAGCTTATCTAATTAGCATAAACTAGATACATCAGTCAACCAATAAGGAATCTCCACACTTAATGGCTCGCTTTTGATACTGCTCAAACCACTCCCTCTGGCATTTTGCCAGGCACCATCCAGACTTGTTTACAACTCTAACATTCCCCTGGCAAAATGCCAGGTGTTATTTTGACTTGTTTACAGACTCTAACATTATCTATTTACACAAAGTGGGTAGGATTGAGGGGGCCAACCAGGATGACACACAGATACCAGCCATGGCAGGAGTCACACTCACCCCTGGGCAGCAGATGAGGGTCTCTGGTGCCCAGAACCCAAGGAGCAGTCAGTGCACCGGAGGGGCATGGCAGGAACCTGTATGTCAGGGTCTCCTAATATTTTTTCAAGAATAAGTATAGACTGCTGGCAAAATCTCCAAACTCCTAAATGTTGTCAGGGCTGGGGGTGCGGCTCAGCAGTAGAGCGCTTGTAAAGCAGGCTCAGTGCCCAGGGTTCAATCCCCAGCTCCTCCAAAGTGTAGATATACACATTAAATACTGACAACCAATCTGAAAGAATTTGAAACACAGCACAGACATCTTTCCTCAAAAAAGAAACATATCCAGACCAAATGCAAGCCGTTTATGACCTCTGTTCTAGACTTTCAGCGCATCTACCCCTTCGGAACTTTCTCCTGCTTGACTGTTTGTTCCTCTCCTCTTTGGTTCCTTGGTCCCTTGATCTCCGACCTCTTTGGCTCTCTCGGGATAGACAATGTGGATTGCGGGTCATTTGATTCTGTCCAATTGCTCTGCAGAATGTGATCGGTGGGTGGGCAGAAGGAAAGGGAGGGGCTTCAGAGACTACAAAATGGAGACTAAGTGGGGACCAAGAGGTCCTCCCTGTAGTCTAACTTCAGGCTTGAGAGTCCATAAGGTGTTATGAGATATCTATAGAGCTACAGCGTCAGTGTCACCAGGGAGCTTCTTAGGGAAGCCGAGCTCCAGCCCCACTCAACACCTGCTGAAGCAGGACTCTGGGCTGGTCTCCCAGGGAAGCTGTGCGTGAACAAGTCCTCCAGGTGGTCCAGGCAGAAACTTCAGTACTGAAGTTTGAGGTTAGACCCCTGGGTGTTTTGTGCTAAAGTCATTTCTGTCTCTCTCTCCATCTTAAGTTGTGTTTCCCAATCCCCTCCCCCATTACCTTGGCCAGATTCCAAAAAGAAATGGTATGCCTCTCATCATACCGAGAACCTTGATTAACTCTGTCCCCTGCCACTGGAATATGTACTCTAATAACAAGCAAGTAACCCAGTTACAATGTGGGTAAAATTTTACAAAGACACATAAGTGATCAATAAACACACTAAAAGGTGTTCAATATCATTAATCACTAAGGAGATGCAAATTGAAACCTCAATGAGACACCACTACACACCAACACAACAGCTAAAATTAATGACCAACAATAGGAAGTGTTTGCTAGGATGCAGAGAAGCTGAAACTTGCGTATGTTGATGAGGACAATGCAAAATGGGACAATATTGGGTCTCTTAACATAAGATCCAAGCAGACATAATTCTATTCCTAGGCATTTGCCAATATATATATATATATATGTATGTATATATATATATATATATATATATATATATCAGCTTTATTAATAATAATGCACATAGACAAACAAAATTGTGGTATAACCACATTGCAGAATATTATTTAGTACTGAAAAAGGGATGAGCTGTTGATACACAAGCAACCTGGATGAATCTCAAAAGCCAAATGAGATGGACACGAAAGACAGTGTGAATCTCTGTATGTGAAATCCTAGGGATCTCTCCTTATAGCAAGCAGATCAATGATTGGGGTTCAGGGACTGGTGACTAATTAGATAGTAGGGCATGAGGATGGAAATGGCACATATCTTTATTGCAGTGGTGGCTACACAGGTTGTGCATCTGTCAAAACTCATCAAAATGGTCTACTTAACACGGGTGCATCGCTGTGCATAAATCACGCCTCCATAAAGTTGATTATTTTTAGCATTATTGCATGCAAATTAATACACTTAACTTCAATAAGGGTGATTATTTTTAAGGGCCTGTCTCGGCTCAGCTGCACCCAGGCCAAGAGAAAATTGCTGACACCAAAAAGGGCAGAGGCCCCTCTGGGCATCCATCTGTCCCTGCCACGCTGTCCATGAGTGCTGAGCCTGCGCGGTTGCTGCCGGCTGCGCTCGCTTGGGCATGGCGGTGGTCCCGCAGAGCAGAGGGTTTTCCCACATCAAATAACTTCAGCCGCTCAGTAATTGGGAAGCAAGCAGCTCCGGCTCGGTGCAATTACCAAGCACTTCTAGCTCTGCCCCTTGAACCAGCCCGACGACGGCCGGGGGCTGGAGATTCTGTCAAGAGCCGCAGAGCCAAGCTCGGGCTGTCTGGGGATTCTCACCAGCCAAGTGCGAGCTCCTAATTGGAGTCAGACCATCGGGGCCGTGTTCTGTGGTTCCTGCGCCTTTTGGAGAGGAAAGACAATCACACGCTCAAGAAGGCACTCCAAGTCAAGATGGGTTGCGGAGCCCAGCCTCAGCACGCGACCCTAGGGGGCGCCACGCACACAGAATGGCACCTGGATGTACCCGGAGGAGGGAACTGCGCCTTAGTCTCCCTCACAACCTTGGGCACTTTTACAGCCATTACCCCAGGCCCAGGGGATGTGCGTTCCTCGATGCCAAGTCCCTTCTGATGTCAGTGTCTCCCTCGGACCCACATGTGCCACCCACTTGCTGCCTCCTCCCAGTCCCACGGGATCGGGATATTCTCTTTAATATTGGAGGAAAGAAGGAGAAAGAGAAAAGAGAAAAAGAGGTAGGAAGAAAGAAGGGGGGTAGTCTGGATAAATAATAAAAATATCATGTCGCCTACTATTTATTCAACAAATAGGTTGTGGCCAGGTTCCATGTACCAGGCAAGGTCAATGCTACAGACACCACAGCAGACACTCTTCCTACTGAGAAGATTGCTTTTTTTCTTCTATGAGCTTTTAATCTTTTCATTTCTCAACTCCCCATTCCCGGCCCCCTCACTTTGGTCTGGTTTCTTCTCCCCCATCTCCTCCTCTGCTCTTCCCCTATTCCATGACTGAGCCATTTACCATCCCACCAAGTAAAGTTGCACACATATAGATTCACATGGAAGCCAACACACTTCAAATGCCAATAAGCCCATGGAAAAAATGCTCAACATGGTTAATTATCAGGGAAATGCAAACTAAACCCACAATGAGATATCACTCCACAACCACTGCAATGGTTCAAATCAGTAAGGCAGACCACAGCAAGCGTTGGTGAGCACAGGGAGCCACTGGAACATTTCCCAAGTTGCCCTCTGAGAATGCAGATGGTACATGTTTGGAAAACAGCTCATGGCCCCTTATGAAAATAAAGATACACTGACCCAAGGACCCAGCAACTCCAAGCTGAGATATTTACCCAAGGGACAGCACTGGGTTCAAATTCAGACCCTTTGTCTGGCTATGTGACCTAGACACCCTCAGCATTAGCTCATTCCTCTGTGAAATGGGGATAATGATAATGCCACATTCATTCATTTGGTAAATATTAATGGAGCACTGCTGTGAACCAAGCTCCTGGGAATTCGGTGGCAAATGGACAGACATGGTCAACCTCTAAGAGGCTCTGTGTCTGGGGAGGGACACAAGCATTGAACAAATGATCAGACAGGTCACTCCAGACGGTGATACACTCCGGAAAGGAAAAGAGCCCTAGAGCAGGCAGAGGGGACGGCGGGAAAGCCCAGCTGGGGGCTGAGGAGCAGCGCCAGACAGCAGTGATACCTGCCTCGGAGGACCATGGTGACATATTCCCATATTACCTGAATGCAGAGCCCAGGGCCTGCATGTGGGGTCCTCCAGGATCAGCCCTGGAGAAAAGATGTGAGTGCAAGTTGATTCTTGGGCAGGTGAGCTCAGGAAGCCCTAGAAGGGGAGAAGGAAGGGGAGGGAGGAGGCAAACCCTGGGTGTGTGACCTGGCAGGTCACCACCGGAGCACGTGGCCTGCAAATCCAGCAGAGGGTCTGGGGAGGCGGCATAGGGTACACTCAGGGGGACCCCAGGCAAGAGGCACCGGACCTGAGGTAGGACCCTCTTCCTCTCATCGGTTGAAATATGGTGGTCTAGGAGGTGAGGGGACTCCTGGCTCTTCTATTCTGCCCTTTAGATGGCCAGAAAAGCCTCCAGACTAAGCCCAGGGTGCTGTTAGAAGGTACCAGGTCTGCAGGGTCCAGAAATGGAGTCTGCGAGGGCGGTGAGCGCAAGACGCCCAGGGCACCTCTGCAGAAAGCCGCGGAGGGATTTGAAGGAGTGACCTCCAAAGCTCACCCTGCTGTCTGGGTGGGGGGTCGGCTGCAGGTAAACGAGAGGGGGCAGAAATTCGGCCTGCAGACAGCAGCGGCCTGGTCCAGCTGCGCGCCGGGGTGGCGGGTGAAGTCCTGGAAGGTTGGAGACGCCTTCAGAGCAGGAAGCGCACAGGTGTGGGGATGGATCGCAGGTGGGGATGGCGGGAGAAAGCGATCAAGGTTAGCGCCTAAAGTTCTGGCATTAGCAACCAAGGGAATTAAAAGGGCTGTGTAGACCCCTCAAGGGCCCGGGCTTATGCGAAGTCTCCAGGGCGCATCTGTGGTTCCCATCCGCTTGCACGTTCTTTGATATCTCCGAAGATCAAGGTCTGCAAGGACTCTTACAAATGATGAGTTTGAAAGATTCAACCTCTGGGAAAAAATGCAAACCGGAAACAAGCCTCACAGCCCCCCTGGAGATTAAGGCAACCCACGTGGCATCCCAACCTGCCCCGCAGCCCAGATCCAGAAACC